TCTCTCTCTCTCTCTCTCTCTCTCTCTCTCACACACACACACACACACACACACACACACACACACACACACACGCACGCACAAAGTCGACCACGTTTTTTTTCTTCTCTCAAGGATATCGTCAAATGTGGGTGACGTGGCGAGTCCTTATCCATTAGTAAAATGCATCCTACCGGTAGCCAGGCTATCTATCGGGGTTCAACCAGGTCCTCCTAATGAGTCAGTTCAAGTCCGACGGAACTGTCTGCCACAGTTTAACAGTTACACTCTTTTTGCGGAGTTGTGTTTAGCCAACATGGCAACACACACACACACACACACACACGCACACACGCACACACGCACACACACACAAAGTCCGACGAGACAGTCAGTCACAGTCATGCTCTTTTTTTTTCCTTTTTTCTTTTTGTGGCTGCGTGTGGCGAGCAGGACAACACGACACACACACAAACGCAGGGGTGAAGAAGGGGGAAAAAAAAGGCACCTGCCAGAGAAACCGATAACGTGATCGAGCTCCACTTTGCCTTCAGGCGGGTCTTCCCCATACTTCAAATTTTCTCGTTCTTTGGTCGTCTTCCTTGCTTCCAGAGTTGACCCAGTCATCATCGCCGAATCTGTTGACCGCCAAAATTTGACCCTTGACGCCGCGAAGGGTCCCAAGCAACGCCCACGCCACAATCTGTTGTACAAAGTCTACACGGGCAGACGGACGCTACGTGCAGCAAGAGTCAAGACAGGAGGACGACGTAGTACTATACGTTGTGTCGTACCAGTAGAGCATAGTCAAACCTCGCAGTCGCACTGTTCCAGGACGTATCTGACTGGAAATACAGCCAGAGTTCGTCCAACACTCGCAGTCGCACTGTTCCAGCCTTCCAGGACGTATCTGGCTGGAAATACAGCCAGAGTTCGTCCAACACTCGCAGTCGCCCTGTTCCAGGACGTATCTGGCCGGAAATGCAGTCAGAGTTCCTCGTAAACGGTCAAATTTCTGGGAGCCCTGTTCCTGGACGTATCTGGCTGGAAATGCAGCCAGAGTTCCTCGTAAAAGGTCAAATTTCTGGGAGTCCTGTTCCAGGACGTATCTGGCTGGAATTACTGCCAGAGTTCCTCGTAAAAGGTCAAATCTGAATGAGCGAGCTTAGGGCCACAATCCCGCACAAGGAAATCATTGGCTGTATATGTCCTCACTCATGAGCAAATTCAGTCACACGTGTGTTTGTGCATACTCGGCGTGCGAAAAAAACGTTTTTCCTAACCCCATGTCCGAAGCAGGTCATCCACTCGAATAAACTACATCGGCTACACACACTGTAGTCAGTGCAGCGAGGGTGTATGTAGTCACAGAAGAACTTTCCTGGATGTATCTTGTGGAATTACAGCGTGAACTGGATGTATCTGACCGCAATTACGTCCCGAGCTAAGTTGGAAAAGTCTCAGTCTCAGTGTGAGCACGCGCTCAATCCGGGTCTGTTGAATACCAAGGAGTGTAGTATCTGCTCTCATGATCCGTGGTGCATAGGGCCACAAAGGAAAAGGGAAAGGAAAGAAAAAGAAGGGGCAATAAACAAAAAGAAGGGGAAAGTACGTTGAAGTCACAACCCGTGTTCAAAGTCCGAACGTGCATACATCGAGAGATGGTCCAAACCGGAAAGGAGAACCAAGCCTCGGAGAGGCTAACTGGAAACCGGGTCCAGTGTCCCATGCTCCGATCCACAGTCTTGCTATTTCTGAAACAAACGGGAACAACCGGGTCCAGTACAGTGCTACTTCGGGTGAATTCAAGCCGCAGCGTTCCGCCACCATGCGACGTGCCAAATCTCTTTTTTTTTTTTTTTTTTTTTTTTCACCCGGAGTAGCACTGTACCCGAGGTCACCATGCCCGGGTTGCTGCTCCACTCGCTACGGCCATAGCCTTACTCCTTGGCTGTGGAGTCTGTCTAACGCCCTTCTCACTGTGCGTTGGGAGTGAGGGCGACGTGCTCACAACACACTATCTTGCAATTAAGATCGGCGCACATGGTCTTCAGACACGTCACTCTTTTGATTCTGCTGCCATAGAAGGGAGACTTTTTTCGGTGTTGTCAACAGCGATTGATATGCGGGCGATTCGTGCTATTCGGGCCGGGTTTTCGGGAGTGGTCAACCACCTTGTACATTGGTCTTCGAACACCTCACTTTTTTTACATCTGCTGAAATAGGAGAGAGAAGTGCTTCGGATTTGTCAGCAGTAATTGACACGTGTCACTGGACAATTCTTGTGATTCGGGCCGAGATTCGAAAGTGGTCAACGACCTTGCACATAGGTTTGCGTTATGACATTCCCTTCCCCTCTCCTCACCTTTCATCCCATCATCCCTGCAATCGCGACGACTTTCTCCTTCACTGACTTCTTTCACTAGGAAACTAATCGTATTCATTCATGCTAATCCTGATACATGACTGAGAAAGGTTGCCAACACGGCTGAAGATGCTGATGTGGCTACTGGAGTAGCCAGAGGTCAGGCAACCGATCTCACAGCCATACAAACAACGATTTTAGGGCTGGGTGTTTTTTTTGTTTTTTTTTGTTTGTTTGTTTGTTTGTTTGTTTTTTTGTTTGTTTGTTTGTTTGTTTGTTTTTTTCCCTGACATTCTTTAGTACGATACTAAGCGTATTTCATTACTGATAATTCTGATACATGCAATTTGTCTTTCTTACACCTCGTCAATGACCTTTTTGACTGTGAAAGGCTGCCAACATGGCTATCAAAGATATTGACGTGGCCACTGGAGTAGGTAAATGACAGGCAACCACTCTCACAATGACCGATACAAACAACGAGATTAGGGTTGTGTTTTTCCCTTTTTTCCTTTTTTCGCTTCCGCTTTCATTCCTCTGAATATGGATGCTTTCCTCCTTGTATCGCTTGAATTTAGACGGTTGTCCCAGCAGTGGTTTCACATCTGGAATATATAGTGTTGACACGTGGAAGAAAAATAAACCACCACCACGTTAGAAAAATAGAGTATCATCGACCTGAATGAAGTTTGACTGCCATTATTATCACATCAAACTGGCCCGGTCACGTGTCAACAAGCCTTGACCGCCATCGTCATCACATAAATTTGGCTCTGTCACGTGTGAACAGGCTACATCTGCCACGTGTGAACAGGCATTAATCATGGCTGACGACTGTCAACCTTCTCTATCTCCGGCAGAAGAGCGAGAAATTAAGGATATGATTGCGAATTGCTTTTTGACAGGGGATGAGAATCCAGAACTTGTCAAAAAGTACATGAAATCTACCATTAATGAAGAGGAAAAGAGATTGGAAGTACGATAAGATAAGAGGTTTGAGAATTTGCACCTGGATTATCTCAAAACTCGTGGTGTAATGATTCTGTTTGCGCAATGTGGCGCTGAAATGAAATTCCAAGAAAAAGAGGAATGGGTTAGAAGAGCTGAATCGAAGTGGGATGAAGCTCTGACGGGTGGTAAGCACGGTCGTATCCGACCCGAAGGAGCTACGCTGCTTTCTTATCTGGCTTCGACAACTCAACTTCGCAATTGGCTGATCAATGATCAGGGAGAGGGACGGATTCGCTGGAAAGGGGCTGAGTACAAGGTTAGATTCAGACCTTGGCTGACTCCACAACAGTTACAGCAAGATCGCCAAAGTACTCAAGAAGGAAGATACTGGATTAGGGTCTTGAAAATACCCTACCTAGCCCTTTCTTCTCTCCAGGCTGCGATAGAAACACAGTATGGAAAGGTACTGCGTACTCAACCTTTGGAGAAACGTAAAAACGAACCAAGATTGGTCAACAGACGCTATGATCTCGAGATTTCCGCGAAATCTAAGATCCAACCAGAGATCAGCTTCTTCACTTCGCAGGGACTCCTCACCCTTGAAGTTGTCACACAGGATACACCCTGGTGTGGCGTGCACAAATGGTACCGTCACCCCTCAGTCAATGGAAGATGTCTGCAAAATGTTCCTCAAGAGCAATGGCCTGAGATTATTCGGCTTGCAAATGAAAAGGGATCAGGGGATCTGCAGACACATGTCATCACTGAAAAGCAGACTGAAAGACCCAATAACCAAACTGAGCAGGCAAYCTCTAAAGACGTGCATATGCGGATTGCCGGAGACAGAAATAAACGGTCAGACAGACGAGCCAAGGGGCATGTTGATGACGCAAGGACAGAGCGAGCAGAGAATGYTTCCCCGTATCGTAGGGGATGGGGGATASGGGGCRGGAGTGGGAGTGGAGGAGGAGCAGGGGATGGGGGTGGTGGGAGGAGGATAGGGGAAGGGGGTGGTGGTRGAGGGACGGTGGGTGAGGAAGGGGGACACACTTCTGGAACACCCTCAATGTCGTCAGCATCACGGCCACATGGACATGGATTGCATAATGCACCTGTCCCTGGGAGAGAAGGATTAACGGCCACATCACAAGTGGTCACTCAGCCAGTCACTGGTCAGTGGGGGGATGAAGATGCTGAGGATAATGAGCAAAATGGAATGCAGGTTGGCCGTCGTCTTTTAGATGATAGTAAAACTAACATTCCAACCTTTTTTGTCATTCCTCTCATTTTGGCTTGGTATGAAAATGAGTTGCGTCTGTTGACGGCCATGAATGATGATCAGACTTTGTTCATCCCTCACATCTCCTCCTCGACAGAGCCTGACACCACCCAAATGATCGGTGAAACTCAGAAATGGCTTGGGAGGTCCTATCGCTTACGCAAATGGCTGGAAACGCAATGGATCAAAATTCCTAAGACTCTGGATACGGGGGTTGAAATTTAACTCATCTTTTTGTTCTTGGATGCCAAACAGAATGACAGCACTTTCTACGTCGCAAACATGCCAGGTGCGCATTGGGTGGCTTGGAGGCTGTTTGCTAATCCAGAGGGACCCATGGCCCTCACAACTTTGGTTGGGGGGTACTGGACCTGTCTCTTATACACATCTAGATGTGTATAAGAGACAGGTTCAGAACCTCTTGCGTACAAGGCCGCCCACGTGGACGTGGTTGAGCGCCGGCTGCCCCCACCCCCGTGTGTCATATCGACCTACTTGCACATA